TTATAGGCAGACTTTCATAAAGATTCAACAATTATAATGATATAGTTCAAAAATATGTAAATGTAATTACAGTATAACGAAGCTATTAGTTCTGGATTTCATTAAATCGAGGTAGAATTGGTATGTACACATCTAATTCAGCTAGTGAAAAGTGTCATTATCTCGAGGTTATACTGTATTGCTTGCGTACTGTAGTATTAACTACAGTATAAGTAAATTTATGCATCTAAGTCTTGTGCAATAACTATCCTCTTGGTGTATAATGTACAATGCTCAAATTTAGGAAATTGGTTGACAAATAATTATAATACACCTATTTTTGTTCTACAAATCGAAAAAATTATTTAAGGCGTAGCGTTGATTATTTAAAAGTTAAGCTTATCATACATTCATATTTGATCCCTTTGAAAGTTTGAAAGTCTATCGTCATGTATTAATGCCAGTAGAAATTGACCATAATTTGTAAAATAAATTGTTTTCGGAGTATATTTTCAACTTATGTATGGTATATCGGAAATTTCATATTGAAATGTCATATCATTTTGACGATTCATATGTTCATTACTAATACTGATCATGCAACTTTTGTATACTGCATCTGAATGAATGGGAATGTCTGGTCTCCATTTCATAATATTATATGTCATAGTTGCATAATGCGAATTCATCAAACCATCTTTTAATCCTTGTTCTAATCTCTCAAATTTACCTGGATTTTTAGATCTATATTCATCAAGTGTCATTTCCTCTATATGACCGGACAATGATACAAATTTAAATCTTTTTTGAGCCCAACGATTCCCCTCATCAGAATGCCTCGAAAGACGCCCTTCGTAAGTATATCTTAAATATGTACATAATAGTTTGATAGAATCTAATACTAAGTTTATAGTCGGTCGTTCTAAAGGATTTTGAACCCAACACCTCTTTAGCAGATCATTATAAGTTGGAGGTGCAAAATGACATGTTGTTGGTCGAAGACCGTTACAAATATCTGATATTAAGTTTACACAATGTGCCCTATTTGAAAACGCCGGAATTCCACAAGCCAATTCCCATAAAATAATACCTAAACTATAAATGTCTCCTGCCTGAGAATACGGAGATTGAAAAAGAAGTATCTCTGGTGCAATATTTGGTATGACTCCATAAATTTTTTTTTCAGGCATCTTCGTTTCATTAATCGGTCGACATAATCCAAAATCTGAAATAAAGACATCTTCTTCATTTAATAATAAAATATTTCCAGAATGAAGGTCACCATGTACCCAACCTTTAGCATGAATATTTTGAAGTTCTAAACATATAGACTGTGCTATGTTTAACTTATTGTCTAGGGTTAGTTTATCAAAATTTTTCTGCAAGAATCGTCGAAGATCCCCTTGTGGTGCATAACGCATTATGAACATGTATTGTGATGTTGAAGGGTCTTTAGTTACGCCGTATAAATGACAACAATTAAATTGAGCTTGAATCTGTATTTGAAATAAAATTCATTTAATATTACTGTAAACACTTCTTAAGTAATTGAGCATTTACAATCTATACCTCCTTAAGAAAAAGATGAATGGAGTCTTTTTCACTTTTTAATTGCTTTATTGCAACAGTACATGAATCAGATCGAGTATAATATTTGTCTCCGTCTATCATGGACAAACATTTTACTCCCCTAACCCATTTTGCAGAATATACAGCACCGAATCCACCTCTATTAATAAATTTTATTTCAGTTAAAGAGTCATACGGAATCCATTCAGGAAACTGGATATAAGACGACGAAAGTTGTGCTTGTTGAATAAATCTATCAATTTGCAAATTTCCACTGGTCCAGTTAGAAAACTCATTTATTAACACTGTATGGAGACAATTGTCGCATAGATATGTGGGTTCTACAAACATATATTCTAATGTCGAAGGATCTTGGGTAATTCCATATAAACAACAACAATCAGATCGATCTTGAAGCAGTCTCTCTGTGATTAAAGGCTCTTTTATAAATTTCTTTAAAATAACTGCACAGCTTTTTGATCGAATGTAATAACGTTCATCATTAGAACTTTGCATGATTTTGACACCTTGGCTCCATTTTGCAGAAATCACTGCACCAAGTTCGCCTTTATTAATATATTTTATTTCGGTGAAAAAATTATATGGAATCCATTCAGGGTACTTAATATAAGACAATGACCGCTGTGCTCTTCGAATAAATTTATCAATTAGTAAATTTTCACTTGACCAGTTAGCAAACTCTCTTTCTAATACATCATGAAGACAATCATTACATATGATCGGGAATTCTTCTACCTTACATCTTGCATTGTTTATACATTTGTTACAATCTTCAATGTTTTCTAATTTATTTTCACATCGACATATTGTATTGGGACATTTTTTGGTTCGTTTTTCTAAAAGATTAAGAACATGTTCCATTTTCAAAATTAATAATTAGTAATTAGGAAATTTTGATGTCTAACGGCAGTAATGCATGCTGGAGTGAAGCGGAGGACAGGTAAATTAAATGGATAATTAACGTTAAATGCAATGTCGTGCCTTTTAAACAGGAACCGTCGATTACACAAAACTGTTACACGATTGATTAATAATGTTTGACATAGTTCATTAATATTTATTCGATCAAGAAGACACTTGTTTCTGCATTGAACTAATAACTTTTTGAAACATGCAGGTGATAATTGGTCGAGGTCCATCCAATATTTATTTTGAACAAACTTGAATTATTTGATTGATCAGCCATTGCCCTTTTCCAGAGACGAATTCCCACATAAGCATGCCCAAAATATTAATATCAGTAGCTTTTGTGTAAGTTTTTTCGTTTGGTAGTTCAGGTGCAACATATGTTACAACTCCATATATGAATTTTAAAATTGTTGACTCATTAGCTGGCCCGCACAAATCTAAATCGTCCATATATACATGATCGCTATTAAATAAACTTTCTATAGATATATTTCCACGGTATAATTCGCGTTTGAATCAATAAATGACTTTATAAAGAAAGTAACAAATAGTTATCAGAATTATTATTTGATAAAATATATATTTGTATACTTCATTCAAATACCTTTTTGCAATATTAAATAACAGTTTAATTTTATTTTTCCAGTCTATTATTTGATTTTTTTAAATATTCATACAAATTTCCGCCAGAAGCTTATTTTGTCATCATTGAATAATTTTTATTAAACGAGTCGGAGTAATTCCATATTTTTGAACTATATCATTATAATTGTTGAATCTTTATGAAAGTCTGCCTATAAAAAATATAAGGAACAAGAAATAAATTCAATAATACCAAGGCTTTGCTGTTTATATTTACCTCTTTTAAGAAACCCATATTTTTATTACAGAGTTATAAAGGCTTTTGAGAACTACTTCTGTATTTTTCCACCTAGCTTTGTATACAATACCAGACCATCTTTTGATAAATATTTGATATCTTGAAAACAATTATATGGAATCCATTAAAATTGTTCTCCGTTAATTTTAGAAATTCATCAATTATTTGGTTTTCACTACTGCCTAAACAAACTCATTAATATGTTGTAAGTGGGAACAGAATTTAAGTAGATTTGGAATTTCTTAGGATTTTTAAGGTTATGGTGTAGTTTTATATAAAATAAATTCTACCAAAAAATTGTAATTTTATTAAGAAATTCTTATTAATTTAAATTCTGTTCCCACTTACATATCCACATTGATAACAATTGTTTGGAAAATTTCCTGATTTCCACATAATGAACACATGAAAGGAAATTCAAGATTAGTGATTGATTCATCAATACAGCTTCAGTTACAACTTCATTTCCTACACGGAGTAATGATTCCTTGGTTCATCCTTTTTTTGATCGTAAAGCTACATGTTATATACGTTTTAATACACTGCGAACAAGTACTATCATTTGCCGAAACATAAAATTTCACTTTACGCCATTGGAATACATGATGCAGTATTTTTAGACATTTGCAAATTGACATGCAAAAATGTCTTTTAACATTGCATATAAAAATGAAAATGGTAAATTTGAAGTTAATACAAGGAAATTATTCAATGTACACTATATATAGGTAAATTTTTATTATAGAAGCCTGTTTTTCTTAAAAATCGCATACGTATTCTTTTCTCATTAAATTTATATTTTATCATCTTTTATCATCATAAACCATATCGATCGTTTGAATTATTCGAGTACCTTTTTATTCGTTTTCAATAATTTACTAAATATATTATATGTCTACATGTGTCTGTACATTTAATTTTTATTTTCATTATTACGTACTGTAGTACTACTGTTAACATTAGATTGGGATTTATCTATATTTATATGCAAAGAATTTCTTTCTAAAGGTTCCATTGCATTTCTTGCTGGAAATATAGCGTTTTATGCATATAAATTATTCCGAATATTTGTCTGCCATGAAAAAAAAAATTTTTAAATATGTAAACACTAGTGTGTTAATCACGTTATTATATGAAGGGAATATGAAAACTAATTAAAGTATTCAAACCCATTATTCGATGGAAGTATCGACTCGTTATTTAATGAAGCTATTCGACAATGAAAGTATTCAAACTGTTATTCGCTGATGAGTATAATCTTCGTAGACACCAATGCTTTCTGACACTAAATTCCATATGTATATTAGTTATGTGAATATGCAATGGTCGTCAGCATTGCTTGTAACGCACTAAAGACTCACATTGCATTTCCTGTTGGAGTTTCATTCCGTAATTCTTCATTATATTTTAACAAATCTATGGTTTTGTACACGTGAATAATTCCAAGAATTTCTTTCGTTACACACTCATTCCAAAAAGTATGGAAATGGATATGACATTTCAATTTTGCAATTATAATTTTAACACATATGCAATTATAATTATAACGTATCAGAGAAACTAACTAGTTAGGTCTGAATGATAATGATTATAGGATCGTAGCGTCACCAATCTAAAAAATTTAGTTACAGTTTGAGGCGTAATCTTGTTTTGGTTTTATATTATACCTGATATCGGAATGATTTATAGTTGCAAAACCTTGAAAAACAAGACTTTAGTAGGTATCTTTTAAATAAGAAACTTTAAATGTTGGTTAAAAATATATTAATTCTTCCGTGTCTTTGGGTCACATATAATAATACAACTTTTTAAAGAATTACAAAATTATGGTTCATAAATCTTGTGCTTTATAATAAATTTTTGAGTCGAATTCTTGACTAATACTTTTAAGTGCTGTTAAAACTATTTAGGATTGATGTTGCCAAATGTAATCATTAATATGAAACTTTCAAAGATTTATTACAGAGAATATTATAAATTTATATGTGACTTAAAAAAGAAAATCCAAATAGTATTATTTTGAATGAGAAAAAAAATCAAATTTTTATTATGTCTTTAACTCTTATAATTACTATAATATTTGCTTTCTAATTGTATAAATTCGGAAGAAATAATATAAAACTATACACATTTATGAAGTTATTCTTTGAAAACAAAAGATCAAATGTAAATAGATCTACCGCCATGTCGAGTGTAGTTTGTAAACACACTATTATGCTTGAGTGAATTGGATCGTCGTATTCATTCATGAAATCCGTTACATATAATCAACCTTTTTATGCACTAAATGTTGTTTCAATTGGATTAAAATCTGGCGAATAAGGTGGAAGAAATTCAGGATGACATTCTATATTGTAATCCTTGTATTAATTTTATATCGGTATGTTTACCAATTGCTGCTTTTTATATATTGTTAGCTACTTACGGATCACCTTTTGTAAAAGTCGCAAAAACAAGGAGGATTTAAGGCCGGTGACTATTTATAAAGTTCTTGCTTGGTTACGAATGACGCAATGTTTTGCCTAGATAAAAATTCATCATAGCGATCTAAATCAAAAGAAATTAAATTTAGAAAATTTTTACTCATGCTGTAATGTCATATATGCGAAATGCTTAAACAATTTATAAAACTAAAATTTATAATATAAATTAATACTAACCACTACTCGAACTTTTTCACAATAGTACAGCTACCCTTCATTACATTTAAAGTAATAGTTTTGTCTAGATGATGGTGTTAGCAGATTGGCGCCATCATCAAAAAATAGTTGTTAAGCGCAATTGGTTATTGAAAGTAATAGTGACAACTATTCCTTTAGTTGCTTTCCAAATAATATCAATAATATCAATAATATCATTCACGTAGTGCTTACATAAGCACTTTGTTTGTATGCTAGCAACAACAGCTATTGCATAATTTCTTCTACAGTATGGCTTTGTTCTCTTTCGTATTCTATTTTTATCAGTAAATGTTGGGTAATTTTTCAGGTCTGTAATTAGCTCAAATATTAGCCATAAGTGTGCTCCTTATAATTTCATATACCAGGGACGAATGTAATGAATGTATGGTTTATACAGCATTTCAATCGGTTTCTGTCTCTGATATAGTAAAAAAATAAAATTATAAACAAAATAAATCATAAACTGGTAATAATAATTGAAAAAATAATAAAATATACCTCCAAAGCAATATGATTCAGCTAATGGGATCGATGTTTTGTTGGTTACCAGAAAATACCATGATCGGTAAATTCCATCATATTTCAAATCCATTATATAAAATTTCATTAATTCTCCTAAATATCACAAAACAATTAATGTAATAAACTTTTATATAAGACATTATTTTAAGCAATAGAGTACCGAATTGCTGTTTTGTATTATTTGCATACCTAAATTTAACAAAAGGACAGCCTTGACAGCAAAATCTTAGATCTGATTGGCCACATAATTTATTCCACTTCCTCTTATTTTTTATTGCATTCTGTAATTTTAACAAATAGTTTTAAGATTAAAGTTTAAATGTGTGCTGTCAAGTGAAACCAAAATACCAAAATATGACCTTTATGCGTTTAATACCTAAGCAATTTTGATCTAAATCGAAAGTTCATCGAAATATTAATTAACTTTTTCTTTAACCAGATGCTTAAAAATATTTCTTCAGATTTTCTATCTGGTAGAACTTTAAAAAGATTAATTACAAATTCTATTTATTAATGCAGCAATTTCATATTAATTATTGCAATTTGCATTAAGATATACGTACTATATGTCAATGCGAATTTTCTTAAATTCCTGTTCTATACTTATTGTTGGTGAAAATTTTTTTTAAAATGGTCTTGAGTTGAATACTTTGAGACCAACTCTGTTTAAGGCCAAGTTCAAATTTAGAAAATGTGTTCCTGCTTGTCGTTTATCCTAATTGTGATTAATAATTGAGAAGACTTCTATGATATATTTGAGATTGTAGATAAAGTAAGTATTATTTCATTTATAGACTTAAAGGTAGATCCTAATCGAAGTCTCTATTTATAAAGTTCAAGCTAAAAGAATCAGCCTATTTATAGCTTAA